GTTGGTGCGCCCAGGCGACACGCGCTGGTCGTCGTTCTGGCGCACGCTGCGTCGCTCGATCGACATGTCCGGCGCGACGACGCAAGTCATCCAGCATGTGCAGACGGACGGCAGCAAGTCGGAGCAGCGGATAGAGGCGACGCGCCTGCTCGATGGCATGTGCACGTTCAAGTTTGTGTTCATCTTGCACCTAATGGAGAAGATGCTGCTCATCACGCATGACCTGTGGCAGGCGCTGCAAACGAAGGACCAGGACATTATCAATGCGTTGCGGTTGGTTGATGGCGTCGTCGAAGCGCTGACAGAGATGCGCGTTACCGGCGACGACGACCTGCTCCACAAGGTGCAGCGGTTCTGTGAGACCCACAAGATCGAGGTGCCCGATATGGCGGCCAACTTCGTCCGACCTGGCCGGCTTCGTCGCGTTGGGCACATGAACACCAATGATCATGTTTTCCGTGTCGACCTGTTCTAGGCAGCGATCGATAAGATGCTGGCCGAGTTCGTCGACAGATTCAGCGCCGAGTCGATGGAGATGCTCCGCCTAGCAGCATGTATCTCCCCACGCAAGCTCTTCGCCTCGTTCAATGCCGACAAGCTCGTGGAGCTGGCCCGCAAGTTCTCCATGATCGACTTTCCTGACGTCGACCTAATGCTTCTCGATCAGCAGCTGGTCCACTTCGCACTTCGGCAGGGAGATAGAGAAGGACAAGCTATTGAAGAATGTAGACATGCTCCCTGAACTATCGGTCATGCTGGTGCAGACCGGCCGGGCCAAGGTCGCCTACCACCTTGTCTACCGATTGCTGCGGCTGATACTGACGTTGTCGTTGGCGACGCGTTTGCGCACCTCAATGCTGCCATGCTGCTGTATGTCGAGGAGACTTCTGCGACGATCAAATGATGTCATACTTCCAGGCCACGCGTCGAATAAAAAGCAAAGGACAAGTCCTTACTTAATAACAACTCAGATCATTTTTTATTGCTGGAGGGGTTGCCCCCCCTACCTGAAAATCCTAGCTCCGCCTTTGCCCATGACCTCCTGTATATCAGGCGAGGGAGTTAACATCTCCAAGCCACCGTGGCGGCCAAGGGCTGCTTCGTGACGTCTCGTATTCACGTGCAGTGCGGCTCTTGAAATAATGAGTTTGTTTTTTTATGTAAAAAAAAGTTACCGAATTCAGAAAAATGTATCTTCTTGTTATTTCGGTTGCTGACCCCCTAGCCTAATCGAACCTTCTCCGGGTGGACATGCCCAGGCCCTCAGCCAATCCACAGCTGGGTGAGCACCTCCCTGACACCGTACGGGAAAAAATTCGCCCATTTCTAGGCGATGCGGTGAGGGTTGGTTTAGGCGGGGAGCGTAGAAGTACCGAACAACACATTTTTTCTGCACTGCCCTCTTTGACCCACCACGTAGCCCCGCAGCCGATAACCAGACATGGTGCTCGTCCATCCAAGCATTGTCCAAGACTCCTAAAAATAAATCGTGATGAGTTTATGAGATCTGACGATACTCGGTGCGTCGTAAGTGCTTTTGGCCATAAGTGTGGTGGTTACAAGGGGCAATAAACAAAGCGCGTGGGGTCTTCACCCGTAGACTCAATGGGCCCAACATTTGACACCAGCCTTGACAGGGAATGCAGCCAGCCACCTGTGTATTGCGGCTCTTGAAATACTGAGTTTTGTACCGGATTCTTCTTGTTACTTTGGTTGCCGACTCCTGCTCTAGTGCCACGATAACAATGAACCAAAGGCTCCTCCCACTATAAACTGGACAATGTACCAAAGACTGCCTCCACTATGACCTGGACACGGGCTATTCGCAAGTGACCTGTGAAGACCGGCACGGGGTGCAACTGTTGCAGCCTGTCCCCCTGTTGATAATCTTGAGACTACTCGCTTTTGATGGGATTATCTCCCACAAGGCGGGCGAGCGCGCCATTTAAATCGGAGGCTTTGTGTTGGTTGCAGTGGGGCCGCACGCTGCGGCTTGATTCTCAAAAAAGATTATTCCGATGCGGTCTACCAAACGCCAAATGTCAATCCGTGGCACGCATCTGGCAGACGGATGGCCCATGGACTGGAGTTTGACAACTCATTTTCCCCCTGCCCCCCCCGCCCCATATATTGGTGGATGTCTCTCTCGCTCTGCTTTACTCGCTGAGGAACATAACCCATCATCACGCCAACTCCGGTCATCCCCACAGCAGCTTCTGGCTAGCTGTCGAACAAAGACTTTGACTGCATCGCACGCTTTCGGATGAGCTTCTGCGGCCGTCTGGAACGCTCTTACTTCCGAAATCAGGACGCCACTGGGAGCCATGCACTTCTAAAATCTAGGTAGCAAACTCATTTATTTAGAAACGCCTTGTGTTTAGTTTGTACACGTACAGTACCTTTAACTTGTCTCGCACCATACGTAGACAACCGTGCCAAAACACACCTCGGATGAGCACGGTTGGCTACGTACAGTCTCGAAAAGAAGTTCAACATACAGATGTAGTGTAGTAGCGCCGGCTGGTGGACATCGGCGGCAACTGTGGACAGACAGTACACGGTGCGTTGGCAGAGAGGAACTACGGCAAGGGTCACTAAGGACCCCATCTGGAGGCCCCTGGAACCGGCTAGCGGAGCCAGGCCGCGCTGGGAGCATAAAAGGAGTCGAGAGCAGGAGATCGAGGCTGCCGGTTCTGGGAGTGGACTCGTCTCGTCGTTGCTGTCGTCTTGTCGCCGTCGTCGCTCAACGTCTCCGCTAGATATTGCGCTACGAAGGATAGTAGTTGGCTATTTCAGTCAGCGCCGTCAGTGTTGGACGGCTCGTGTTGTGTATAGGCTGAGCTAAACTACTGTGGAGAGTGTGGACGAGACCGTGGAAGTTGTTAATGAAGGTGCCTCCTATAAACTCTGTCTCCGAATCGTTGACACTACACATACATATGTAGAGACAGTGCACCGACTGGCAGCCATAAGGGATAATTACGGGTGGGAGAACAGCACACAAACGGAAGAGAGCATGCACGTGAGCGACCACAAGGGGGGCTAACTAGGCTAAGGGTCAGAGGGGATCTATCCGGAAGCTCCCAGAACCCACTGGAGAGTGCGAGAAGAGAGGCGTGGCCAGGCCACGCTGGGGGGATAAAAGGCGGAGAGGAACGGGGTTCTGGGCACAGTGGGGTTCAGGGTCCTGGTGGTCATCGCTGTCATCATCGTCATTGCCGTCATCTCTTCGTCGCCGTCATCGCGATGCAGTCAACCCGCTGTATAGTTAGACATCGCCGTCGTCGCTATATAGTCAGCCAGCTATATAGTCAGCGCTAAGTAACCTGTGACTGTTATTAAGTCGTAGCTGTATTATGCCGAGAAATAATAAAGCCCTCTACAGTTCGTGTCTCTGAAGTAGTTACGTTACACACATACAAGCGAGGTGCCATATCCATTCTCAAGGACGTCGGGGGATGGTGACCCTCCATTGAGCTCGTGACTCAACAACGCTGCCCAATATACTCCCAGATGTGATCGTGAATGGGCCCACGTTTCAAACGACGTTTTGCATCTCACGAATGTGCCAGAGATGTATAACGCCGTCTGTACTTACAGGGTGCTGGTTTAGGTTCGAGTCGGCTGGACAATCGTTTCTCGAGCAGCAGCAGTGATCAGGGGATGAGTGTCACATGTGAGTGGTTTGATGATAATTATTTGAGGCCACAGCCGCTCTATGGCCCAGACAAGAAAATGTCAAAGTGATGTTCTTCTCGAATGAGCACCGAGGCGGTGGTGCTTCACCTCCTGTATACCGCCCTGAGCCAGTGGTGGGAATTCCATGTTCGTATGGCGGAGGCGAGTCTATCTATAGAACCACCGTGGACTTCCATCACAAAGTGGGGTACACAAGTGAGGACTTGAACTCCGTTGCTTGAACAATGACTTGAACCCTCCGTCTGGGAGCCGCTCGTTCTACCGCCCCCAGCATCGCAAGTCGGGTTGCATCTCATCCGTTTGAAGGATACCCACCCCCAGTGGTTGCTGTCCCTACGTGGCAAAAGTTAATTCTGCAAGTGGGCATTAGTCTATGTGTTTCCCAATGACGTAATTTGCGGGTATTTAAAAAAAAATTGAGAACATAACGTGTGTACGTTTAAGTTCTTTCCCATCGTACGTAGCCAACCGTGCTAATCGGAAGGGAACACTATGGCCAACCCTATGGAATGAAGACACTGCCTGCAAAGTGACCTATTATATACTTTTTTCCTTTTAAGGCTACAGTTTTATTGACGAACGTGTTGAGTTTTATTGTTTATAAGATTAGGGACCGACAATCGCTGCATCTTTTTAACACCCTCGGTGAAACAAACGGGCATGGCGTTTGTGTACAACGCGCACTACCCCGCGCTATTGACCAGGGCGGCCATCCTGGATGGCGAACCGAGAACCCCCCTGCAACGAGCAGCAAACTCGCCACCACTGTGGTTGCTGCGTGGTGATCGTTGCATTGGCGACGGCAGGGTTCCCCGGGACAAAGTCTTGCGTCCTTACAAACGAAGACATCTTCTCCTGGAAGCAGTGGCGACAATTCACTTACTCTACAGGACGTCTGCCAAAGAACGTCACCAAGCTGCAGCGTGTACAACATTGTTTGGCTGATCTCTTCAAGGAGCATAACCCATCACGCGAACTAACCACCGCATCTTGCGCGCTTTGCTGGCCGTCTGGAACGCTCTTCCTTCCGATATTAGGAAGCCAATTGGAGCTATGTGCATTTTTAAATCATCATCTAGATGGACAAACCAATTTCTTGAGAATAACTCTTTGATTTTAGTTTGTCGTCTTGCGTCCTTACAAAGGAAGACATCTTCTTGGAAGCGGTCGGTGATGATTCGATGCTGAACGACGATTCAAAGGCACCCCTGGGGAAAAAAACCCAAAACGTCTAGAAGCGCACAGGCGGCGGATTGTTTTAAACGTGTATTAAAAACGTGACTGCGTGAGCCGCCCGTGGCGTTTTTGTTTTTGCTTATATATTTAAAATGCATAATAACGTACATTACAGTCATTGCTACAACTGGCAGCAAAAAAAAACAAACGGAGGGGAACGAGGACGAATGTTAATGTTACGACGACAAATCAACAGGTGAAGTCTTCACGTTGTGTACACGGTGTGTGGGGTGGAGGGGGGGGGGGAAGTGCACACAACGTAATCGGACGTTCAACGCCGCGCACGGTACCAGCCACACACACGCACGCAGACAGGGTGACCACGACGACAACGACGCACCGATAGCAAAAATTTTCCATTAAAAGAAAAAAAACAATAGCAGCCGACCAACCCACTCAAAGAGGCCGTCGACTGCGGTTCCTTGCGCCGGAAAGCTGTTTTGTTGGAGCGCTATTTGCGTCGAATTGGTGAACGCGCTTTTCTTATAATATAGTACAAAAAAATGTTATTACTTCGCGAAGGCCGGGTAGTATACAATAATAACGGTGCGCGCTTCTCCGTGCTGTACAGCCGCACTGCCGGAGTTCATTCACGGGGCATTCAGATGGGCGCCACGGTGGCTCGGAGATGTTAACTACCTCACGGGTCTACAGGAGGTCGTGGGTTCAATCCAGTCCCTGACGCCTGCTGCTGTATATTTGCAGTTTGCGGTGACTCTCTCCTGGTGGTCACGTGGATTTTTCTCCGGGTCCTCCGGGTTTCTCCCACAATCATTGAAAATTTTCGACATGCGTTTGGGAGTATTTGGCCGGTAAAATTTTGACGTGATGATGAGCCACTTTGTTGAGCTATCAATTGTGATGGCCAGGTCGTTTCTGAAAAAAAAGCTACATAGCTCAGTGGGCCTTACCCGGTAAAACAAAGTGTAATCGTTCAAATTAGATGACAAGGTGATGGAGGTGGTGTTTAGTACACCGTGTGTGTACTTGACAACTTTCACGGTGCACAACCTTCCGATTTACTTTGGTCTGCAGGCCCTCCACACCCATCCATCCTACCCCGCATATTACCAGCCCCAAACACAAAGGGGATTTGGGTGGCGATGTTTTATACACACCGCACCAGGAACTAATTTGAGGCCGAGTCGACCTAGGGGAGGCCCAAGCCCGGTCCAGATAATCCATCACTGGTGTTGGCCGTGAGCGGGAATCAAGCCTGGGGCTCTCTGGGTTCGTAGCGCAGCGCGCTAACCGCTACACTACCGCCCCCCACCCACACAAACAAAACCAGCTGTCACGTTTTTTCTTATAAACCAAGAGGAAATGGGATAATTTCCTTCAGGCGGATCCAGGGTTATTTAAATAAGCCGTCTTTGTCAGGTTGGGAGGGGGCGCAGGGAAGTGTGGAAAATTGAACGAGGATTTGTGTGTGTGTATGTGTCATCATGTCACTGGGAAGTCGCCGTGGGATGGGAATGGCTCACGTCAACACTGCCTACGGAGAGGGGGGGGGGGTTAGCGAGGATGGGGGGGGGGGGTATGCAGTTCACGAAGCGATGCTATTTTACATTTTTGATCTTTCACGCAGCGTATTCAATCCATCGCATTTTGCGATGTGTGCGTTGGCCCGTCCCCTCCTCCACACACGCGACCCGGGCGAACGTCGGGTGAACGTCGGGCGAACCGTCGCCCGTTCACCATCCGGTCCACGGGGTCAGGGGAATTCTTCACGCAACCTCCGCAGCCCCCCCCCCCCCCAACAATTCCCCAAAATTGCCGAGTACACCCTAACCCCAATGCCTGTATCAAGCGCACAACGTGCTGCTGCGTAGAGGTGCGCACAACGGGGAGACGAAACAGCGTTGTTCGAGTAGCAGTGGACAGGGTCGTTATGGGGGGGGGGGGCGCCGTGAAGCCTCTGGCCAGGGGGGGGGGCAGCTTCACCGAACACAGCAGCAGCAGCGGTGGTGGGGGTGCTACACCCTCACCGCACCACCTCCATCCCAACGGTGCCGAGCAAGCCACCGTGGTGGAGCTGTCAAGCGTGCAGGGCAGTGCAACTACCAGCACAGCAGGAGATTTTACACACGAGTGTGTATATATTGTTTTAGATGTACAGGGTGCTTCAAAAAATGTTAACACTTCTGAGAATTTGCAACAATACCACAAGCAATGTGCCTCCGGGCTCTGGAGACCACCTGGAGAAGATTCCAGGCAACGTGTTGACAATGGAGACTGACTTTTTCAAGCTATTAATGTACATTTGTTATCATGTTACAGTGTATTATCCGTTCTTTTTCCATCAACATCGATCGTCCCATGTGAGTGTTAACATTTTTTGTGAAGCACCCTGTATATATCGCTCGAGAGAGTGAATATGGGCGAGCCCCCCAAAAGAGATTGGTGTTATTGCAGCAGGGCCCCCCCCCCACTACCGCCCGCCCTGGCGTGTAGCGGAATCCCGTGGTGCGTCCCGAGTTGTCGAATGTGGTTTTACCCAAATCGTGTGGCAGCGTTTCTACATCTATAGATATGCGTGTGTGTATGTACGCATGTACAAGCGGCTTGTTCTAGAGTAGTAGTTGCGTGGTTAAAAAAAAAACGCGACGCTACGGGCAAACAATGGGGGGGGGGGGGGGGGGGGTAGAAAAAGTGAACGCAATAAAAATTTTATAATGACACGGCAGCGAAACATTTAATAACGCTTTTAAGTAAGCCCACAGTGCAAGCCAGCGTGCTGCTGCTGCTGTTAACTGCTGCTAGCTGCTGCTGCTGCAAGTGATCGATCCTGCTGCACACGGCGGGAATTCGGCGTCAAGACCGCGCGCGCGCTCGCCTCTGCTCGTCCTCATGCATCCGGCAAACGCGAACGGCCAGACGTTGATGTTCACCACCCAACGTTGGCGCGACGTCTGACGCGAAACTTTGCTCCCGACCGAGAAAGCCACGAGGGGAGGGAGAGGCTATCAACAGCAAAGCCATGCTTGGTTGGAAAATGACATCGAAAAGGCGTGTGCCAAGAACTACGACATTTAATGATACTAATTATAATAACGATTAGAAAGACGTGTAAACCACGGCTACGCTTTGTTCTTTAGTCGTGCTCGGTGCAGAGATGGCTGGCTCGAACGCCTATGATCCACGCGCAGCTTAACTCCTGGAAATAGCAACATTATTGTCTTTTATTATTATTTATATTTCTATCTCTGGTGTATCTCTCGCTGTGAACATCATCATCAACAAAGGCAGTAACCCACCGCAGTTAACACCACCACGCGACACACACCCACGGCGTCAGTGCCCACGAGGCAATAATTGGCAGAGACAGAGAGATCACGCCAGAGAAGGTGAGGGGAGAGAGGCAGGGTGGTGGTGGGGGGGGGGGGGGGGGCAGTGAAAAAAACAAACAACTTATCGACTACAGAAGTTACACTTTTAAATTCAGAGCTGTAAACTTGTCACGCCATCCTCGCGAGATCGGGCAAGGTGCCCCCCCCCCCATCCCACCCTCGGGCGTGCGGCAGCGCTGCTTCGTCACGACGACTCTCAAAATCGACCGAACATCGCCGCGGTGTCCTCGGGGGGGGGGGGGGGGGGGGGCTACGCCGTCTCGCTCCGTCCGATCTCGGGGAAAGTGGCTCAAGAGGTTGCAGACACCGGACTGGCGCTCACAAGGGAGATCGCCGGAATGGTCGGCGGGGCGGAGGGCAAAGTCAGCGTTAACGCACAGACGCACCGCTGGAAAGGGTCGAAGTCACGCCGACCCCTGAGAAAAGTGGCTGAGACCAACGAAGATTTTCGCTCGGGACTACAGAGGGCGGGGGGAGTGATTTAGGCGGGACTCGGAGAGAGAGGGAGCGGATGCAAACGGGCAGCATTTGTGGCAGAGAGTGAAGTTTCACGGCTGAAAAATTTGCAGTTTTGGAGGAATTCGTGTTTTAGTCAGGGAACGGCCGTTTCGTCCCATCTATTCGCTTGGAATCTTGGAACAGCGATTATTTCGCGAGAGCATTGGCCTCTCCATTGGCTACGTGTTGGGTCACGCGAGCGAAGGGTTTCAGACTAATTCGACGCCTGCGACTCTTGTATTCGGGTTGATGGGGCTCTTCGCTGCTGCGTGGATGCTCCTTGCCGATTGTCATTCTGTTGCCTCGCCGACTGTGGCCGTGTCCGGCACTTCACTGCAACCACCGCAGCCTTGTGCAACACGGACACACGCGTCCTGCACGAGCACACGGTCTGGAGCGTCGTTTTCCGAGGGCTTCGGGAGTTCCCACCGACAACTTTCAGTGGCGATTATCGGAGCCGGTCTTGGGCCTCCCCTAGGTGGACTCAGCCTCAAATGAGTACCTGGTGCGGTGGTGCTGGCCACCCACCCCCATCGTGCGCCATGCCGGCCTTCACATGCGCTGCTCGCTCACAAGCACTTGCCTCCAACAGCCTGTTAAGGCTACACGGGGTATCTTTGTCTTTGTACCGAGTACACCACTCACGGGCCAACTTTGGGTCATCAAAGCGACAGGGAGAGATGTGACCTGGGGAGCTGGGCAGTGAGCCAGGAGGCAGCTGTCTGCACACCACGTTGACGAGTGGGACCCCCGCTCCTGCTGTTATACTTCTGCCAAACAGCACACACACACACTCTCTCTCCTTCTCTCTCTCCCGCCGTTTGCCACCATGACCCAAGATGCTCTTGACACCAACGTGAATAGGAGCCGAGCCCCGGAACCCCCACGGTGCCACTGCCGAGGTTTCTCCGAGCCCAGGTGCGCGTCGTTTTGACTTCACGGACCATTTTTCCCCTTCTGGAAACGGATTGTTACATTTTTACCTTTTACCAGGTATGGGACCCACTGAGCTATACAGCTCTTTTTCAGAAGCGACTCTATCACAAATGAGAGCTCAACGGAAGTGGCTTATCGTCACGTGGACATTTGTAGCAGCCAAATTACTCTAAATGCACGTTGGTTCTAAATGTGGAGAGAAAAACCAGAGGACCCGGAGAAAAATCCACGTGACCAAGGGGAGAGAGGCACTCCAAATATACAGCAGCAGGCATCGTCAGGGTCGGGATCGAACCCACGACCTCCTGTATACCAGGCGAGGGAGTTAACATCTCCTAGCCACCGTTTGTCACCGACGGTGTCTGTCTTACGAGCCAGCAGAGCGCATCTGGGGAGCGCTCTGTGTGTGCATTCTCTGTCTGTGGTGGCCTCCTTGAGATGCGTATGTATCGATCTCTCCATGCACAAACAAGTGGCAACAAACCCTAGCGGCGTCTATAAAACGATGCACTCGCGTCATTTGGCCTTTGAATCACGAGCAGGCGTGCAGTTTTTTCATTGTGGGCTTTGGCTCTTCGAATGACACCGCATACTTTGACCGTCTTCTGAGACTTGTCATCGGCACAATCGAATCATCCCACGATGGATTGACACGCGAAAGGCAAAATTGTTTTTTTTAGCAGCCACAAACAATGACGCCCGTCGTAACTTCTGGTGTTGCAACTTTTGGGGGACGAAAGAGTTCCGGAAAATGAATCGCCAATTGTGCAAGAAGAAGGAACGTAGCAGATTGCTGTTAAACGGCTGTGACAAATCAACGAGCACAACCTGCCTAAGATTTCCAGACGGCCGTCAACTCCTCACTGTGGCGCTCACCAATCCTCCTCCCATCTCCCATGCCTCACCTCTCTCGCTCTCTGCTACCCTCAACCCGGGCTCTCAAGTCCAGAGCTGGTGGCCGAGTCTGTGTGTCGGAGGCGGTGCGAACGTCCCGTGAGCTTGACAGGCGTTTGCGGCTACGGCCGGGCGCGAGCTGTCTGCGTGAAAAACAACAACCTCAAATCCAAGGGCCAACCACAGTCGTTCCTGCAAGGCCACTGCCTCTAGTTCAACTTGCTCCTCGCTTCTATTCGGTGATCTGCACTCAACCTTATCCCACCCCGCCTCTGGGACGCAATCTCTCTCGTCTGTGCACGAGACCCGAGACTCGGGGTAAGGGGAAAAACGCAGAAAATGTGTCATTTTTGTCGTTGCAATTTAGTCACGGGAAACATTTCAAATCTTTCCAGATCTGGGCAGATGACAGCACACAGCAGGCCAACACCTGGGAAACCGATGCCACGGGGCGTGCGCTGCCCACTCCTACAGCGGGGTGCTTCTCCCAACTCCCCCGCGGGAAACCACCGGGGGGGCGGCTGCAGCCGACGAGCCGTCAACTTCGCGTCCAGCCGGCTCGGGAGCTGAGCTGAGCGCGCTCAAGACACGGGAATGCGGTCCCCGCGTGCCGTGGGTCCCCGCGTGCCGTGGGTCCCCGCGTGCCGTGGGTCCCCGCGTGCCGTGGTCGCTCATCCCACTTCTGCCGCGGCAAGAGCTGCCGTCGCAGCAAGAGCCGTCTCGTCGTCCGTGCGGCGAGTGAGCGACGAGCAAGTGAGCGGCGAGCGAGCGAGAGGAGACGTGGAATGAACTCGCGGGTGACCCACGTCGTTGTATCGTGAAATTAAGGGGAGCATTTCCCCACGAGGCCTGCATGAAGCGACGCACGGCAACCGGTCGACGTGGTGATTGATTAAAGGTCGCCCACAGGTGGCCAGCAGAGAGAAAGAGGAAAGATGAAAGGCTCGGCTGACGAGGAGGCGGCGCGCGCACACTCGTAGTAGTCGCTCCGTTAGTCTGCATCCCTCGCCGTCTACCACCCACCCCAACCCCCGCGTGTCGTGTCGTGGTGTTAACGGAACTAGTGCAAAGGCAATGGCAGAAAAAAACACTCATATCACCCCCCTCCCCCCCGGCACTCCCCGTACCCTCCCGCTCCCTCCCTCTCTCACTCCCCCACATCATCTCCGCCTCTCCACGACTCTGTCACAAGTTCTGCTGCGTAAAACTCACTGGAACAACAAACATTTTTTTAAAAAATGTTTTTTTTTTCTCTTTTTTTATGTAACAACATTGTCCCACTTTACTCATCAACTTGTTGACAATAATAATGATAACCATATTAATAATATCAATAATACACCATTCACGTTGTAGCCTTTAAGCGAAGGCCAGGAGGCAGGATTGAAGCTATTCTAGAATGCTCGCCATGAAGTCCAGGAATCGCTTGGAATACTGCTCGGGGTTCACCGTCGAGATTTCCGCTCCAGCCTGCGTACAGATAACACCACACACACCATCAAAATCATCATTATCGTCATCGTCGTCGTTGTCATCGTGATCATCCTCATCGCTGTTGTCATCGTCATCATCATTATTGTTGTCATCATCATCGTCGTTATCATCATTATCGTTATCATCATCGTCACTGCCATCGTCATTGTCATCATCATCGTTGTAATCATCATCATTTTTGTTGCCAGTTTTCATCATCGTTGCGACGATCAAACCGCATGACGCATCCAACCGCTCAGGCTGTGTTGATGACGGCAAACACTGCCAACTAAATTCGTATTCATACCTGGAATGTGACTCTCCCCCCCCCTAGCTAGCCTCGGACACACACGCACACACGCACACACAGACTCACACACACACACGCGCGCACACACGCACACACACGCACACACACACACGCGCGCACACACGCACACACACGCCCGATGCGGTTCACCCAACAAACACCCGCGCTACGGAGGCGACAGCGCAAGAACGGCTGTGGGTGCTACGGCCCCCGTGTGTGCGTGTGTGCGTGTGCGCGTGCGTGCGTGTGCGTGCGTGCGCGTGTGCGCGTGTGCGCGTGTGTGTGTGTGCGTGCGGTGCCGTGTAGAGTTCGGTGCTCGCGACAGAGGTGGTCGTGTGATCCCAGCAGGACCACATCCCCGATTAGCATGGTTGGCTACATTCGGTGCAAAAGAAGTTCAACATACGTACATACACCTTGTCAGAGCGTATGTTAACTACCTCGTCTGATATACAGGAGGTCGTGGGTTCGATCCTGACCCCTGATGCCTGCTGCATATTTGGAGTTTGCGGGTGTCTCTCTCCCCGTGGTCGTGTGGATATTTCTCCAGGTCCTCACGGTTCTTCTCCTCCACATTTAGAATCAACGTGCATTTCGAGTTATTTGACTAGTATTAATTTCCAAGTAATAAGCCACTTCGTTGAGCTATGATATGTGACCAGGTTGCTTCTGAAAAAGCGCTATACAGCTCAGTGGAACCTTACATGGTCAAATAAAAATTTAGTTTATTTTAGCTTTAACGTCTATGGAAAATGGCGGTTTACACCACCACCACCACGCGCCAAAAAGGTTCCCGGACAAAAGAGAAAGCGTTAAACTGGTTTCACCGTGGGGCGATTCTTCACTCTGCTTCGGGCGTGAGCAAATGCACTCAAGATTAAGAAACACGTGACCGCGTGTGATGAGGTCGGATTCATGGATGTCTCCTGACAGCTACGGCTATGTCTATGGGGTACTTTTGTGCCAGTACTATCAAAATGATGGAAAAACACAAGAACAGGCAATAACACAGGAGGTGTTAAGATGTTCAAACACCAACTAGACACTCACAACTATTGCAAGGGATCAAGTCTGCCTTAACCACCCATAATTGTGGCAAAACATGCAAACCAATTGGCCTCCACCAGAAACGGCCTCCCCCCCCTACGGCCTCGTGTCACCAACCGGTGTTAGACCAGAGAACGACGCCATGAGGCGAACAGCACAGAGGACAACAACGCCACTATATCGAATGTCTTCATCGCCCGGCTTGAGCGGCCAAACCGCCACGCGCAAACACTCTACTGGGTGCGGCGGCGTTCAATTGGCCAAGGCGCGTGGGTGACGGGTCGGACTCGCGGCACTGCCACCCGGTGACGGCTGCAGTGCCATGAGCAGTCGTGCTGTGAAGGCCCGGCGAGGGCCGACTCTCACCCCGTGCTTCACAGTCTTGGCTGCGTGTGCGGCCTTCTTCTTGGCGTCGTAGTGGGTGAGGATGTCGATGATCGCCATGAAGTAAACTTCTTTCCGCGGAGCACCTTGTTGGGGGGTGGGGGGCGGTGGGGAGAGGGTCAGGGGTCACACGCGCCGTGCGTGTTGCCACGTCGCCGCGCTCGGTGGAGTTCACCATCGAGCGGTTGTGGTGGTTGACGAACGGCGACTCGCGGAGCCACTTCACCCGCTGGCTCGCTCGTCGAAGGTCGGCCACCTCCTTATCACTCTTCTATTGCTACCACCATGGTCACTGTTCCCGGGGACTTCACTCAGCGCTTCCTCCACCCGTGTTGGGGACTCGGTTTATCAGACACCGACTGTCTCGACTCATTCACACTGCAGGTCACAACCACACACTCATCACACTCACCCACTCACCACACTGCAGGTCACAACCACACACTCATCACACTCACCCACTCACCACACTGCAGGTGATAACCACACACTCATCACACTCACCCACTCACCACACTGCAGGTCACAACCACACACTCATTAAACTCACCACACTGCAGGTGATAACCACACACTCATTACACTCACCCACTCACCACACTGCAGGTGATAACCACACACTCATCACACTCACCCACTCACCACACTGCAGGTCACAACCACACACTCATTAAACTCACCCACTCACCACACTGCAGGTGATAACCACACACTCATTACACTCACCCACTCACCACACTGCAGGTCACAACCACACACTCATCACAGTCACCCACTCACCACACTGCAGGTCACAACCACACACTCATTAAACTCACCCACTCACCACACTGCAGGTGATAACCACACACTCATTACACTCACCCGCAACAATATTATTAGTATTAGTAACCTAGCGGGCTGCAGCTGTTTGTTGTTGGCTGCTTGACGTTTTGGACCTTCAGGGCTTGTGCTCAGCAACCCCCATGCACTCTAAACTAAACTATTTTTTTTATTTTACCAGATAAGGCCCACTGAGCTATATAGCTCTTTTGCAGACGCGACTCTGGCTATCACAAATGATAGCTTAATGGAAGTGGCTTATCGTCACGTGGACATTTACAGCAGCAGCCAAAAAAAACTCTAAACGCGCAATGTTGATTCTAAACGTGGAGGGGAAAAAAACGTGAGGACCCGGAGAAAAATACATGCGATCACGGGGAAGGAGAGAGGGACACGAAAACTCCAAATACACTGCAGCAGGCGTCAAGGGGTCGGGATGTAATCACTGAGAATAATTAAACGGCTATACTAAAACTAAACTAGATATATTTTTTCTCAGGTAAGGCCTGAGCTATATTGCACAAATGATAGCTCAACACAGTGGCTTATCACGTGGAAAATTATAGCAGCCGAATACTCTAAATGCACGTTGATTTTAAATGAGGGGAAAAACCAAATATACAGCAGGCGTCAGGGGTCGGGATCGAACCCACAAACTCATGTAGACCAGGCGAGGGAGTTAACATCTCCTAGGCACCGTGGCGCCCGTCTAAACGCCGCGCAAATTAACTCATTGGCAGGGAGGGCGGCAGCGATGGCGACGGCGGCGGGGGACTCACTCTCGTGGGCCTTGAGCGCGTACACGTCCGTGTTGGGGTCGAACTCGCCGGGCCCCATGGGCTTGTAGGCGGCCACGGAGAAGCCCGAGCAGTCGGGCGGCGTCGTGCCGTAGGAGCCCACCGCCCCCGCGGGGCCGCCCGAGCCGTTGGCGTCCGACCCGGTCTCGTCGTCGCCCCCCGCCCACTCCGCGCCGCCCTCCCCCTCCTCCCCGCCCTCGCCGCCCTCCTCCCCCTCCTCCACGTCGTCGTCGTCCTGATCGGCGCGCTCCACATCGTGGATGCCCACCAGCAGGCTGTAGTCCATGATCTTCAGCTGCGCTAGGAACTGCACGCGGGGTGAGGGGACACACACGCGCGCACGTGACTGGAGTTAACGACAAGTCAGAGAGGCGAGCGCGGGAACTTAGGGGTACCCCCCCCCTCACCCACTGGCCCCAAGCCCCCTAGAAAGCCAGCTCCCTGCCCAGGGGTTGCTCCTGGTCGGGTGGGTTGATCGGGTGAGTGGGTGGGTGGGTCAGGTTGGTCTCATTGGTGGGTTGGTCGGTTGAGTGGGTTGGCTAGGTCGTGTGGGTGGGAGGTGGTTTGGTCAGGTGGGTGGGCGAGTGGGTGACAAGGTTGTTTGGGTGAGTGGCGGATGTCAGATGCATCGCAGCCTCTCATCACACTCCTGCGTCACGATGCGAAGTGGCTCAATGCACGGCGGCGCGGTGCAAGGTGGCAGTAAGCTATAATCTATCCTCTGCTGGATGAAGGCCTCCCCACGTCGTCAACATCCCCCGTTGAGATTCCTGCGACTCCACGACCCATCATCCACGCCGGCGGTCGTGCCGACCGAATTCACGTCGCGCACGCGCACGTAAAAAAAAAAAACCCCATTACTTACACAAACACATTTTATTCAAAATAAAAGTACGCTACATCTCGCTCGTGACCACCACCTGTTAATAAAATCCATGCGCCCCGGGTATGGGTGCCGATTGACGTTCGCACTCAATGCCTGCCAAAAGATCACAACCCCCCCACCGCCCCACACCCTCCAAAGAACAGAGACAAAGATCCTCCCCCGTATAGCGTTAACAGACTGTTTGGGCAAGTGCTGTTAGCGAGCGCCTATGAAGGCCGGAACGGCACCCGAGGATGGCCAGCACCACGCCCGGCCCCCTTTGTCTCCTGACTGGCGATGTTTACACGCCGCACCAGGTACTCATTTGAGGCTAAGACGACCTTGGGAAGGCCCAGGACAGAGTTCAGATATTTGTAACCGACGCTGGCCGTGAGCCGGGAATCAAACTCTGATCGCTGGGTTTGTGGCGCAGCGCGCTAACCGCTGCGCCACCGCTCCAACCCAAGGAACGATGCGCGTAGCTACGTAGCGCCAAACACACACGCTCGGGTCCAGCAGCCCGCTAATAAAACAAACGCACACTCGCTCAAAATAACCTTCCAAGCAGCCGCACAGTCCGTGAGCCCGTACATCTGCCATCCATGTTTAAAGACAAAAGACGGAGAGATCCCATATGTGGCCGGGCTGGGCTGGTGGGGCGCGTGTGGCTAGCGGGCACCTACTGAAGGCTGGCGGAACGGGGGGATAGAGGGTTGGGGGGAGGCGGTGGTGGGTCCGTACCTTTGCTCTGCTGCCCTTGCCTCCGCGCGTAACGTCGTCTACATTGCACAAGGACGTTTTGGGCTGAGTGAACCCGAGTTGGCGGTTCAGGCCAGGTTGAGCGAATCGATGAACAACTCGTGTTTTTTGCGCGGCCAGCTAAATGGGAGTGTGGATCGCCAGGATCTTAGCAGGGTGTACAGAGACCCACACATGTGCGAGTGGGTGGGTGGGGGGGCGGTGGAGGTCAACGCCCGATCCCCGTGAAGATGGAATATAAATGGAAATTAATCCTCGAGATGCACGGCCATCATACCGTGGCAAGCCAGGAGATGGCGACCTCAGGGTGACCTTGGGGTAAACAGCCACGGAGCAAGTCTGCTGTGTTACAGGCCACACGCATCACAGCCAGCAGCATCCGGCTGCCTATGAACCGAATGCTCCCCGGTCGTCCAGAGAGACGTATGCATGTACGTATGTTGAACTTCTTTCGTACCGTACATAGTTAACCCTGCTCATTGGAGCTGCGGCGGAAAGACAACAAACTAAACACAAAAATAAGTTATAATGAAATGAGTTTTCAAACTCGATTTAAAAGTGCATAGCTCCAGTGGCTTCCAAATAATCGGAAAGAAGAGAGTTCCAGACGGCCGCAGAAGAGCATCTGAAAGCGTGCGATGTGGTGAGCCGTTGTTGCGAGGATGACCGGAGTTCACGTGATGGTTTATGCTCCTTGACGAGATCAGCGAGGTATCGTGGTTCATTTGTGGCAAGCACTTCGTGTGTGCAATGTACGTTGAACTTTTTTCGCGTCGTACGTAGCCAACCGTGCTCATTGGAGACAGCGGATGAATCGCTGTTTCCGTCGCGGTTCGGCGACCTCATCATCAGCAGCAGCAGGCGGCGGGGAACGCCGAATGGGAAGACCGCACGCGCGCAATCGACGTGCTGCCCCATACCATGGGGACTAGAGGTCACTCGAAAGACTCTTAACACAAAGTGTGGTTGTTGTTGCACCGCTCTTGCAAGGGATCTGAACGAGATCTTCGTCACATTTGACGTTTGACCCAATGAGAATTAGAACCAAACTGATGAAGCACCCACAACACTCACCACGCAGAGTGGCAGAATGTCGAGCGACTTGATCGTAGGCACTCTCTATGTTAACGACCTTCCCTTGGTATATAGGCATCGGTTCGACCCCGACCCCTGGTGCTGTATATTTGGAGTTTGCGTGTCTCTCTCTCACCCTGTGGTCGCGTGGCTTTTCCTCCGGGTCCTCCTGTTGTTCCCTCCACATTTAGAATCAACATCAAACGTTCAGAGTTGTTGGTTGCTACTTTAAATTTGCACACGATGCGCCACTTCACTGAGCTACCGCTTGTGGCCAGGCCGCTTCTGAAACAGAGCTGTATAGCTCAGCGGGCCTCGCCTGGCAAAATAAGAAATAAGGTCGTTTAATGGTTTTATAACATAAGATTAGGGGACTGATACAAAAAGGCTGCACGTGTCAAAGATTCACCACTTCACTCGAGCTCCTTCCACCCAAAAGGCCAAGCTTCAAGTGCGAGCGTAAAAACCCCGTCCGTCCCCTTCTCCTCGGCGCTCCTTTTCTCAATTCTGGATGACCACCGCCCCCGCCACCCCCTACCGCTCCACCGAATCAGACGTCAGCTGTTGTTCCTCGGCGCCACATTTCAGCTGCTCGGCGCTCGCGATCGCAGAGTCCCCCCCAGAGGAAACCACAGACAAAGACACTCCCCCCCCCTTCCGCCCCATAGCCTTTAATAGACTGCAGGGGCAAGTGCTGTTGGCGAGCACCTATGAAGGCCGGCACGGCGCACGAGGGTGTGGGTGGCCGCCGATGTTTACCCACCACACCAAGTACTCATTTGAGGCTGAGTAGACCTTGAGGAGGCCCAGGACTGGTTCAGCTAATCGTCACTGGTGTTGGTCGTCAGCGGGAATCGAACTTGGGTCGTCGGGTTCTGCTCCCCAAAAAGGCAAAGATCCCCCACCCCCCCCCCCATATAGCCTTAACAGGCTGTTGGGCCAAGGGCTGTTAGCGAGTAGCATTGATGGAGGTCGGCACGGCACACGAGAGGGGGGGTGTGGCCAACACCACACCTGGCCGCCTTTGTCTCCCTAGTGGCGCTGCTTACTACGCACCGCACCAGGTACTCGTTTGAGGCCGAGTAGATCTCAAGGACCGGTTCAGTTCACCGTCACCGATGTTGAGTGGCCGTCAGCGGGAATCGAACTCGACTCGTCGGGTTCCGCTGCCCACACCCACAAGCCGCCCCCCACCCCCTCTCTCTCCCTTAGTGCCCCCACCGCCACCACCCCCATAGCTGCTGGCCCAGATCTCACATCAGAAAGTAAACTGTGCTTCGCCTGCACGCGGCGGCCAATCGCGCGAGAGGGAAGTCTGTGTGGAGTGAAATGGGGGAGAGGCTGCGTGGTCCGTCAGGGACCCGTCACGGCTGGCTCTTGCGCGAGCTCCGATTCAATTACCCTTCCCACAATCGCCTGGCTGGGAAACCACCCACTGAGACGCAACAATGGGATTCGTTTTGTGAACTAAACAAAAAAAACGAAACTGGTAAAGACCACTGAGCTGTTTTTATACTTTTTTGAAATGCGACCTGTCTATCACAAATGATACCTCAGCGAAGTGGCTTATCGTCGCGTGGACATTTATAGCAGCAGCCAAATACTCTCAGCGTGTGGTGACGTCGAGTATAGAAGTGGAGGGAAAAAACAGAGGACCCGGAGAAAAATCGACGCGACCACGGGGAGAGAGACACCACACACTCCAAATATACAGCAGGCGTCAGAGTCGGGATCAAACCCACGACCTTTGCTCCCCCCCCGCCCCCCGCTGCTTTCCATCCGAGCAAGCAATAGGGCAGCAGCACAATGCAATTTCATCCCGTAGCATCTTGAGACACAAACGAGGTGCTGCCGCTAGACCGTGAACAATCGTTCGGGGAGGCTGGGCGACGCCAAGTGACACCCGAGTGGCGGGGGAGAGCCATCGCAAGCCGAGCTCCTCAAGGGCGCATAAACACCGTAGCCACGCCAACTCCGATCATCCTCGCAGCAGCAGCAGCAGCAGCGGGGGCTTTTTGGCTGGCGATCGAACAAAGACGGTCACCGCATCGCGTGCTTTCAGAAGCGCTTCTGCGGCCGTCTGGAATGCTCTTCCTTGTGATATTAGGAATCCTCTGGAGCTGTCCAATTTTAAATAATCTGTACAGAAAACTAATTTATTTAGAACTGCTTTTTGTGTTTAGTTTGTTGTCCTTCCCCTGCACCTCCAGTTAGCACAGTTGGCTACCTACAGTGCGAAATAATTTTAACATATATCCATACGTACAGCTGCGTGGTTAGCCGTGCCCGCGCGTGTTAAGTGGTGCCCAGCTGGGATGTGGGCCCAGACACACCAGCAGAACCACCGCTTTTAAGTCTTTATGAAAGCCATCATTTGCATGTCACACCGTGTGGAATAATAACGATAACGATGGCAGGAATAATAATGCCGTAGAATTATCCAGGGAAGTCTCACTGAGCCACGGGGGTGCCGCCTTTATAGGCGTTCGAATTATTGACCTTGATTTTGAAGCATTCCACACGGTTGTCAATAGCACTGCCCTATAGAGGACAACATACAATAGGTGACATTTTGTGGCAATGGCTCCTTCTTCACAGCAAAGAGATCT